AACATACGCTTCCCACACTTACACAATAAACCTCAGAAAAAGGCAATTCTTCACTTTCATAAAATTATATAAATTAATAAAAGTTCATTACGGCAACCCACTCTTTATAAATAGCCCTTACATGCCACATGTGCTCAGTGGCAACCCGCCAAAAAAGAAAAAAAAAAAAAACAAGCAAAAACCCCAAAACACACATGCGACTGTGCAAATAGGGAAGTACGGACAAATCCTCCCTCCCCCCAGTCCTGCAACTACCATCAAATCACCTGCCCATTTGATGTACTTTTTTATTTTTTCCAGGTAAGACTAACTCCTTTTGGAAATACAGGTTCAGTACAATAGAAGTGATTACAGTTTGCAGTACAAGGGTGTTAAGTTACAGTCTTTGCTCTTGAAGGTCCATAAATCAACAGTATCGCTCACATATACTGCTCAATACTAAGTTTTGTTGAGTTCAAACAGCACTCCTTTTTCCCCAAAATTAAAAGTCAGGCTGAACTTAGGGCTACCAAGATGATTAGAGGGCTGGAGCATCTCTCCTATGAAGAAAGACTGCAAGAGCTGGGCCTGTTCAGCCTGGAGAAGAGAAGATTGAGAGGGGATCTCATCAACGTGTACAAGTATCTGAAGGGGGAGTGTCAAGAGGATGAGGCCAGCCTCTTCTCCGTGGTGCCCAGCAACAGGACAAGAGGCAATGGGCACAAACTGAACCATGGGAAGTTCCATCTGAACCTGAGAAAAAACTTCTTCCCTGTGCGGGTGACAGAGCATTGGAACAGGTTGCCCAGAGAGGTGGTGGAGTCTCCTTCGCTGGAGATATTCAAAACCCGTCTGGATGTGATCCTGGGCAATCTGCTCTAGAGGACCCTGCTTGAGCAGGGAGGTTGGACTAGATGATCTCCAGAGGTCCCATCCAACCTAAATGATTCTGTGATTCTGTGAACTGATGCAATCTTCTAGTCATAATTACACTTGTAATTCTGGACTACACGTTACCTTTAGACATGGGATAAAATATATTTCTCTCCCCACTCCCTCCAAAGAAGGAAATAAAGTTAAAGCTAAACTAAACTATATTAAACTACATTTTTTTGAAAATTATGTTATGCTGATAAGCATAGCAAAGGAAACAGAGAAGAATGAAAAAATATTACAACTCCCCACACAAGAACTTTCACATGAATTGCCAGATTTCTCCAGCTACACTCTCGATACGTTCGTCAGATGCCAAAAAAATATCCATCTGGCCCAATAAGGCAATGTAAATGAAGTTTGTTCGGACAACCAGACAAAGCTATCAGGCTTTGGGTTTCCACTTTAAGCCAGAAGCTACACCTGCTTCTTTGATGCCAGACAAACAGCCCCAAACACGGCTAACATTATGCCAGCTTCTTAAACGCGTTCATGGCTTTGTCAAGTGGCCTCCAGTTCTCTTCACCACAACCGTCCAGAGCCCCGCGGCCTGTGGCAAAGCTGACACCTTTCTGTTAACATTCAATTAATATTCTTAACAGAAGTAGACAATAAAATTATTTATGGAGCAATAAGGCTGAAATATAAATGAAGAACTGTCCATGAGTATAAAATTAAGCAACAGGCAGGAAGCTGGAGCAACTTGCTGGAGCGACTAAAGGCAACTTGCACCCGACAAGTCAGATGGAGCTAGGAAGGACAGGACTTCCATGGACTACAGGACAAAGAAAACTTCCCATATGCACACGGCAGCATTCAAACCAAGTCCAAACTGTTCCTCTGGGAAAATTTCCCAGGAGTTTACTTTTGAGGTGTTCCAAGAAAACACATTACTGAAGGAACTTCGTTATGATGAAGTTTTTCCTGAACATTTAATTCAGAGGAAGCGTTCTAGTGTTGTTTCTATGATAGACCGTAGGCCGAAGTGTAGAGATGAGGTTTATTTTGCTTGAATCTAGGTCCGCCATTTACCTTTCCAATTCTGTTTATAGTCTTAGAAATAACAGCCTAAAACAGTAGCAACTGGGTAGGACGAAAAAGACAGCACAGCACTTTCTGATGATTACCCGGGCTTCTTTTTCCTCACATACAGAAGCCTTTTGGATCTTGCTGGGCAAAAATAGCATGTTAGACATTTTCAGAAAATTTTAGCGGCTATTAAAGATTGATGCTTGCACCCTGGATACTGAGACTACAACAGCCTTAAACCTAAAATGAAAACCACTGGGGAGGAGGAAAGCTTTGGAACAGGCTTACATCAAAAGGTCTTCCCATAGTGTTTCAGAGTCTGAAACTGACAGGCTGCTACTAAACTCTAGCAGGCATTGCATGGTCTAAATTAACTTGTTGTTTGAGACTACTAAACGTGTATAAGACATGCATGTAAAACACCACTAACAATATAACCGAAAAGTTCCACCAATGTGTAAAATAAATTTCTGCCTTCTGTTCATTACAATTCCAGTAAAAATATAACATAAAGACATGCACAAGCTCTGATGTGTGCATATACTGTATGTTCCCATCTTTAAAAAACTACACAGTAGATGGGAACGTACACAGTAGGACACATCGTGTGCCCAGCTGTCAAATCAAAACAAATCTTTGTTGCACCTCTAGGTAAACCACTGACCCGAACCAGTTCGGAACACACCAGTGTTATAAAGCGTGACTTTGAAATACTTTCTGAAATACTCCCTCTACAATGCACTAAGCACATGCTCGGGGTTAACAAGGGTTGGGGGAGGGCTTACTTTGTGGGGGAAGGGAACGAGTAGCTTTTCCTTACAGATCATTCCTTCCTTAAACATACAGCCAGCAGCTACAAAAATGCTAAGTCTGACATTTTGATAGTTCTTAATTCAAATGATTTTACATGGCTTCTTCTTCCTAGTCACTATTTAATTAGCTTTCTCTCTCTCTATATATATATATACACACACACAAAATTCTATCATAGCAGCTATAAACAGAAGACCAACTGATTTTGACTATTTTAATATTAATATTTAATTAAATTATTAATAAAGTAACACACACTAAATCCAATTTTAAACAGAAATGTCTGCGAGTTATCAGTCTGTCCAATAATTATAATTCTAAAATGTGTATCCCTGAACTCATCACCAAAGAAAGTGAGGCAGACTAGATACGTTCTGAAAAGAATTCAGGTGTGTACTCAAATGCACAAACACATTTCTAAATAAATTGAGTCTTGTGAAATCGGTCAAATAGAAGTTTTACGAGTTCAACCCTCCCTCCCTGCATAGTAACGTCTTGTCAGATTCCCTTTAAAGAAGGCTTAGAGGATCTCTTCAGATAGTATAGACAGAGCTAACCCACACCATAATATAATTTCATGAACTGTACTAGAAATACGTTACATATTCAATTCACAGGGATGCTTTGTTAGCAGTACTATATTCTTAGTATAATCGGATGATTTTACTAATAACAGTTGGCAATTACTTTGTACTGTTTTCTTGCAAGGAACTTGAGAGCACTTTATGAAATAGTAAAGCAGAAGCTCCCTGCATCTTTGAAAGCGTCTCTGATTTGGGTACCTAAGTAAGAACTTAAGGGCATAATTTTAGGGACATATTAAAAAAAAAAAAAACATACACACAACTCGTTACAGCTCCAGCTTGCATATAAGCACATAGAGTTTACCCAAGGTCATGCAGCAAGTTAATGGCAGAAGCTAGGACACCGGGCTCCCAGGCCCTGTCCTAACCACAACGCCCACCTCACAACCGCCCGGAGCACACGCATCTGCCCACAGAAAGGTTTATGACTTCCAAACTCGGCACGTAAGACAGACTAAAGCTCAGCTGACAAA